GTGTGTGTGTGTGTGTGTAATAATGATGATGGTGTGTCGTGTTCAGCTGTTCCATGACCCCTTGCACTTTTCTTTTCGTTTTGGGGCGGCACCCTTGTTTTTTTTTTTTTTTTTTTGCCGCATTGGGTGCGGTGCGCGAGGTGAGCGAGACATGCGGTGAGGCCCGCACCTCATTGCGCCACAAGTATGGTGTTTTCATGCAAAATTCGCTCTTTTCAGTTTTCAGGATTTTGCAGGATTTTCAGGGCTGGCCAAAACAGTCATCTCCAAGATGACCCCAACAAACTCCAAACTTGGAAGACACGGACCTTGACCAAAAATAAAACAGGGCAAAAAAAAAAAAAAAAACCCTGAAAAAAATTACCTCCCACTGCCCCGGGGCTGAAAAGTGGGGGTCCTTGTTAACTACTTTTCCATGGAAAGTAGTTCTCATAGGAAGTAGTCTGCATCTGGGATTGACATCTCAATTCACAGAAAGAATGAACTCCTCATTCATTTATCGCAAAAAAAAAAAAGAAAAGGAACTTCTCACACTGTGACAGGCAATGAGGCTGACCCAAGTTCTGACGGAATAAAAAATGCAGACTACGTCACTAACATTAAACTGCACAGGACTACTTCAAAGAATCAAAACTGAAGGAAAACTCATTCGCAATTCAAAAACTTCCTGGTACAGGAACAGAACCAGTCATATAACAAAGAATGAGGTTTTCACCTTTTCACCTTTTCACCTTTTCTTTTTTTTTTTTTTTTTTTTTTTAAATGTGACCCGATGGGTCACGGATCAGATATTAAACTGATCAGAACAGATACTACACTTGATCTTAGCCAAAAGGCCGAGAAAGGTATTTCACCTTGGGACCGGGCCCAGCGTCCCTTTGTCCTGTCTCTTATACACATCTACGGATCAGATATTAAACTGATCAGAACAGATACTACACTTGATCTTAGCCAAAAGGCCGAGAAAGGTATTTCACCTTTTCAACTTTTCACCTTTTCACCTTTTCACCTTTTCACAAACTTGTGGTAACATTGCAGTGAGCAGGCAGAAGCTACCGAAAAAAAAAAAAAGCAAAGGCAGAAGCTACCGAAACCATTGTAACCTCAATTGTCTCTCGACGACTCTAGTTGCACTGATGACGGTAACCTTAGTTCATACCCATGTGGTTGAGCCGGAGCCTGGGCGACACGGCCTGATGAAGGAGGCGGGCGTAGACTGTCAGATTTGGTGCCCTTAGAGTCCTTTTCTGACGATGATCTGGGAGACGACGCTGAAACTGAACTCGTTACGGGCATGCCCAAGGCATCTGGGAGATGACGCTGTGGATCTTCTGAATCTGAAACTCCAGGCTTGGCTGCTGCTGCTGCCTCCTTCGCTTCTCTGTTCTTCGCTAATGCCGCTGCAACCTCCTTTGGCATATATTTCTAGATGATTTTTTCGTCAATATATGATGCAGGATGTCAGGAACAGAGTAAAAACAAAAAAAAACAAAACAAAGTCACTATCAAGGTGGTGGAAGGAATCAATACGAAATTTATCAAAACATGGTGAAAGAAACAGATGTGACAAAAAAACAAAACCAAAAAAACAGCCTTTCCTTTTTTGCAGAGGGTTGTCAAAGACGCATCAACAAAGCTCACAACCCAAAAAGGACAATGGAGAGAGAGAGAGAGAGAGAGCTGTCTCTTATACACATCTAGATGTGTATAAGAGACAGCGGCAACCCTATATATATTGTCGAATAGAACTCCCGGTAAAACCGTAGGCAGAGAGAGAGAAGAGG